GAAATTTTTTTTTCGCATAATAAAGTAAATTACATTAACTTTTATTTAAGATATATATAAAAGTGTCAGACTTTCCGGAACACTTTCAAAATTTAAGTTGAAAAAGTAAATTTTTTGTGAAAAAGTGGTCATTTTAAATCCCCCCCTGTGGGCAGGTAAAGGGTCAGATTCATGAAAAAAATATACCAAATGAAAGGTAACAACATAAGTCATCTATATAAAAAAAAAATATATTGATATGGTCATTTTTGAAAAAGTCATGGCAGTTTTTAGTAAAAAAAATTTTAAAAATTTCGAAAATTAGCAACTTTTAAATTTATAATTTTTTTGGAGTTTTCCTCCATTTACGGGAAACGAGGGAAATATTTTCAATTTTGGAGGGTAATGTTTTCGACTAGATATGATTTATGATCTTTTGACGTATCGTTGAAAAAAATCTGTTCGGTGAGAGCTGAGAAAAAGTGGTAACAGACACAAAAAAATCACATCATGGTAAAATTAATACCTTTTCAGCTTCGCATCGAAACTAAAATTATAATATATTTTGTTAAATCTATGGTAAACGTGTATCGAAATTGTAAGTATGAATTTATCAAATAAAATGCAGTATTTTAGGAACATTTACAAAACCTAAGTTGAAAAAGTTGAGTTTTGTAAAAAAAGTTGCTATTTTGAATCTCCAAAAGTGGACTCGTAAAGGGTCAGATTATGATACAATTTATATAAATTTAAAAGAAAATACGTAAGGTGTTTATATAATAAAATTGTGTTGGTTCGTTCATTTTTCAAAAAGTTATAGCAGTTTTAAATATTAAAATAACATTGATTTTTTCGGAACAATTTTTTTTTTTAACTTATAGTACATAATGTAAGCTTTAATATAACATATGTTAAAAAAACGAAATATTTCTAGAAAATTTTCAAATTAAAGTTGAAAAAGTCCTACTTTTTATACGTATGTTCAAGTTTTGGATGCCCACTGTATAAGGGGAAATTGCCCGATTAAAAAAAAAAGTATGTCAGATGAAAGAGGTATATATAATATGTTTAGAAACAAAAATTTGTGTTGATCTATATATCTATACATTTTTTAAAAAAGTTAGAGCAATTAAAGTGGAAAAAATAAAATCGAAAAACAAAAATTTTAACACAAAAAAAGCATGTTTTTAACTACGTAAGCTATTTAGCACATAAAAGATAACTCGTCGGGACATTTTGTTTCTTTTCATTTTATAGTACATGACATAAGCTTTAATTTGATATATATTTAAAGGACACAGTATTTCCGAAACAATTTCAAAAGTTATGTTGAAAAATTTAATATTTATAAAAAAGTTGCTATTTTAAATCCCTTTCTATGAGCATGTTATGTGTTAGATTTCCAAAAAATGACATAAAATGAAAGAAAAATATCTAAGGTTTCAATATAAAAAAACTATTTTGATTCATTCATTTTTCAAAAAGTTGTGGAAATTTTTAGATGAAAAATATCAAAATTACCAATTTTAAGAATTGTAACTTTTGGGGGGATTTTCACCATTTATGGGGAATGAGGAAACATTTTTGAGAGTAATATCTGCAATTAGATTCGGTTTGTGATTTTTTGACGTATCGTTGAAAAAAAACGGTCCATTGAGAGCTGAAAAAAAGTAGTGACATACAAAAAAAAAAATAGATAAACGCATCATAGTAAAATTAATACCTTCTCAGTTTCGCATCGAAGCTAAAACAAAATGATTTTTCACTCAAGAAAAATGGCTTTGAGGAACCTATTTTCTAAACTATTGATACGATCACATTTGCATGTGCCCATATCTCTGTCTCCCATAACATCGTTGTACCGTTTAATAGACATATATATATATATATAATTAACACAGTGACATACAATAATACTAACAGGAGGGCGGACTGCACACATAAACACTTTTTGCAATTCACGGCCAATGTGCCATAATAAGATATCCCTACGACAGTTGACATTTTACCATCTTCGCGATCACTACTTTTGCCTGATAATTAACTTAACTTCGCTACCCCGTATATTATAGTGTGTGTGTGTGTCGCCGTCAGCTCCCTGTTGGATTAATCATCTCTAGGTGTCCAGCAGGTTGTATTATCCATTTAATATTTCAATTGCTTAATAAATATTTATTTATATCGTTGTTAACCTAAAGTGTTATATATATATATTGTAGTGCGACCCTTGGTAGTTCCTCTAAGGGAATATAAATTAAATAGGAAACTTCAGTACCTAAGGTAGATATAGCCTAGCCAGCTATCCCCCGTTGGTCCCTTAGAATACTGTCGACGGGCATTTAGGCTCAACCCCTAAATAGCGACGTAACACTATCAAAAAAGATAAACAAACATTCATTGTCTACATCACTCCAAATATTTAGTTGAATTCATATCTATCATTAAATTTTTCAAATTTAGTGGTATCTTTACAACGATTAAGATATGAATACTATCTAAAAATTGATGGCCTAGCGTTAAAAAAATCTTCTTTTGCGTTGATTTATGTTAAAGGTTTCCAATAATAATAAATTTATTAAAAACGATTATTTTTTTTGTCAAAAAACATTTCCGTATTTAATATTTTTATTACAGATTTTAATTAAAATTGTGTTAATTTGATAAGTTTAGCGCGCCAAATTATTGTGATTCAATTAAGTTTAGTACTTTTAATTTTAACAAATGAATGGGTTATAATAAATTATTAAACGTTAAACTTATCAACAACATAAAAACCTTTTTCTTATAAATTCCTTTTGGAAATTTTATCTTCTTTCATTGTAGAAGACATTATTTTACAAAACAAAATGTTATTTTTAGTGTAACTAGAAGAAACCGTAATTTTCACACGAGTCATATTAAAACTACCATTTCAAACATAAAATAGTATGTGTAATTTGTATAGTTGTTCTTGGTTATTCCAGAAATTAAAGACTCAACCACTCCATTAACACTTATAGATGTTTTTGTACAGAACAATGATAAAAATTTAAAACTATTTAGCAATTGTGTGAAATATTATAAAATAAATAAATTATGGATTATTTGAAAAAGTACAATAATATTTTCATTTGATTATTTATAATAGAGTGTATATTAGGGATTGCTCAAGAAATAGGAGTGTATAGTAAAAAAATTGAATACTGAATAACTTCCAAATATTTATCTTCTAACAAACCGAAGACTAAAATTAAAACTCGAAATTCACATGACCTCCTAAACAATCATAATTTGGCTTTTGTCAAATGTTATAAAAAAAATTAAAATTAAAAAAAATGGTTTCTTTGATAATATTTTAATTAATTCTTTAAGTGTATTCTGATCATAAGAATAGTAAATTAAGTTGCTACGTGATACTTAATATTTATACACAAATGTTTACAATCAAATATAAATTAGTTTGTTGTTTAATTTTGTTTAAGAAAAACTATTTTTTGGTGCTTGTATTGAATTACTGATAATCATTAAAAATTTTGTAAAAAATATTTTGATACATTTATTTTATTGTATATAACATTATTAAAATGAAGGTGAAGAGGTTTTTTCGTCGATTAGCAACATTATTTAAATGCTGTGTTTCGGAGAACAAGAAGTCTAATACAAGTGGTAATGTATCTTAGTTCATTCTAGCTCAGATATTTTTTTAACGAATAATACCAAATTATATACAAAAAAGTATATTGGAAAATGCAAAAAGATAAAAATATACTTTAACATAATACATATTTTCTATACTAAAATTTGATATAGCATAAGGGATGAATAATACATTAAGCTGGAAAAATTAGAACAATTTTCTGTGAAATATTATATTTACAATTGTAAATATCGGTTGACTATTGCCAAAGACGATTTTAAGATTATAAACTTAACGATGAATTATAGGACATAAGTGCTGTTAATGTTTTTGTAGATGATTACATTAATGAAAAGATATATCTAACATTAGTTTGTGTAATACATTGATTTCATACATTCATCTATATTTTACATAAATCAATTTTATAAATAACAATTTGTGATGACAGGTTATCATAAAATTACATTTTTTTAGTATGCGAGTTGTATTGTAGTTAAAATATTTAGATTTTATAACTTTAAAATTCAGGGATAAATTTCTAGTTAAAAGTAACGTCGTAAAATTTACAACTTTTATGAGTTTTTAAAACTAACGGTTCTTTATATAACCTAAATATTAAAGTTAATAATTGAAATAAAATAAAATCAATATTCTTTTATACAAAAGAAATGCTACTAAATATTATGATATAAATGGCAAAATAAATGTTAAGACGTCTAGATAGTTAAAACTATTGTTTCACTCATTGTCTGTCATAGTAATGTGAATTCCATATGAACTTAAAAGTTCATGCTCTGAAAATTCTTCTGTAGTGTTAGCTCTGACGAACAACGTCGCTTATTTGATTATTTTGAAGCAGGAACAAACAATCAACAATATTTTGCTAACACTTCCAATAAAAATAAAAATGTATCTATAAGACGTTATTTATTCTCAAATGGGGTGTCAGAACCCCTATCTTCCCTCTTAGCATCACTCAAATAGTGTGATATTGATGTTTTTGGACAGTAACTTAAAAAAGGACTTATAGGATACTTATTTTATATAGTTATTATAGGAATGTTACTAAAAGAAAAAATATTACAATGTAGAAAATAAAAAATATTTTGTTTCTGCAGTAAAACTTTGAAAAATATAATATTACTTAATTAATTACTACCTTAATTTTTCAATTACTTAATGCATTTGTTACGATTTTTCATATACAAAAATTATACAAGTTTAAGTGATTAAAAATTCATTAAAATATCATAATTCAATTTTTTAAGTACAATTATTTATATTAATAACATTGTTCTATGTAATATTTTAATTTGAAATTATTATAACCAAATCTCCATTAAATTTTTGACCTTATGTCAAATTTAGCCTTAGATTTCATTATTTAAGTCTAGTTGCTTAGTAAATATAATAATATATCCCCGTAGTGTCACTATTGTAACAATTAACTCTCAAAAAATTCACTTTAGGAATTTTAGTAAGATATTATGTTCATTTTATCAAAAATATATAATTTTGTAATAATTGTATAGACTATAATAATAATGAAATTCGAAATATTAATTAGAAATTATGTTAGGTGATGTAAAACTAGATGTTAAAAACATAGAATGTAGCACAACGCAAATGAATGATATCGATGTAGAAAATGTAGTGTCAGTAGGTAGTGTGTCAATTGTAAAACAAGAGAATGGTGAAGATATGATTGTTGTGGAAAATATGGATTTATATGAATATACGAATAAATTTTGCACTTCCAATACTTTAACTGAGGAGGATCCCTCAAATAATAGTATCCTAGAGGTCATAGTAGATTGTATAGAAGATTTGATGGCAGTTAAGCAAGAGAATGGTGAAGATATGATTGCTGTGGAAAATATGAATTTATCTGAAGATAAAAATGACCTTTGCTTTTCCCATATTTTAACTGAGAAGGATAACCCTAATAATAGTACCCCAGAGCTCAAAGTAGATTGTATAAAAGAATTGTTGACAGTTAAACAAGAAAATTATGAAAATATGTTTGCTGTTGAAAATAAGGATTTACACGATGATGTGAATGAACTTTGCATTTCCTATATTTTTACTGAAGAGAATCACCCAAATAATAGTACCCCAGAGCTCAAAGTTGATTGTATAAAAGATTTGTTGACAGTTAAGCAAGAAAATGATGAAGATATGTTTGCTGAGGAAAATATGAATTTACCTGAAGATACGAATGATCTTTGCATTTCCTATATTTTTACTGAAGAGGATAACCCAAATAATGATACTCCAGAACTTGAAGTAACAGCTATTGAAGAAGCAGTGTCGATGGAAACGCGTAAACACGAAGAAGGTGTTATACGCTATTTTGGAATGAATAATGAAGCCGGTAGAATAATTTCAAAAAATGGAAAATGTTATAAATTTTATAAAGTAGGCATATTATTTTATTGTCATTTACATGACAGAACCTGCGTTTTAAAAAAACTAGTCAAGGTTTTAATACATAAATTAATTAAATTAAGTATTCGTATACCAAAATAAAAAATCTTGAATTTTTCTTGAAGTAATTAGGCATTAAACATAAAACAATTCTCTTTTAAACTATATAAATATAGCGCATTTTTGTTTGCCTCAAAAATAATTGAAAAAATATGGTCTCGCGGTTTAGTCATAAAGTTGATAATATATATTTTTTATTTCAAAAAAATACAAAAATCCTTTAAAATTGTCTTTTTTTTAGAAAGATATTGTTGGTTCTTATAGATATTATAAATCTCCACAAAAAGCAAAGTTTGTGGTCAATGATTCACAGCCGAATTGGGCGAAAGAAGTAGAAATAGTTGGAGATATTTATGGCCAACGGTAATTATTAAACGATTTAACAGTATAAATAATAGATTTAATTTTGTTATTTTTTTGTATCTATAGATGCTATTATTGTTTAACGCATGGTCATTATACAGAGGAATGTATTCAATTAGATATTGACTCATTACATTTTTACTATCCTTACATTTAAGATACTAGTACAATCTGTTTGATTAATCTATTTATTCAAATTTAATATTGCACATATTTTAATGTGTTAAGTAAAAAATACTATTATACATTATAATACATCTAAGTATTTAAATTTATTGTTAAAAATGAGGATTTAAAAATATTGTGAATAATTTTTTAAGTAATTGTTAATCAATAAACAATATATTGCCATAATTTAAAAATTCTTTTGATTAATTTGTTTAATATAATAAATTTAGTAGACGTATGTTTAAAGATATAATTACAGAAAAAAAATATTTTCTATAAAAATAGAATATGAATTTCTTATTTGTATAATTTATATATAGAATAGAATTTGTATTTCAATGTTTTGGCAATAGTTTTTTCAATTAATTAAAAAAAAAATATACTTTTGAATGAGAGTGATAAGTAATAATTACCTTATCTAATTTCTTATCATGGTACGATGGTCGTATTAATGCCAAGTTTGTAATGTATACACATTATCATCATATGTATACACAATAATCATGAAAAGATAGCGTTTTCTTCTGTCCTTTTTCTCAATACGTATTTCAATGTTTAATACAAACTTTAAAACGCTTACTAACTTACTAAATACTAACTTAAACTAAATACGAATTGTAGTCATTTGACGTATCGTTGAAATAGTAGGTCTAGTGATGTTTGGCAAAATATATCGTAGCCACAAAAAGAACCACATAGTAAAATAATATTAACATGAATATAAATTTCTTCTCACAAGGGGAGACTATAGTGATAGGATCCTTTATATTTATTGAAGTTATTGAATTTTAATGAGATAAATATCAAATGATTTGAACATTTTATTCTAACTCAAAAAAAATGCAAAATATTGATTTGAACAGAGGGGATTTGAACCTTGTACCGTTACCAATAAAGACACAAGTGTTACTGATTCGGCAACTTTTCGTCGCATGATNATTTGATATATGTTTAAAGGACGCAGTATTTCCGGAACATTTTCAAAAATTAAGTTGAAAAAGTTAGTTTTTGTAAAAAAGTTGCTTTTTTAAATCCCCTCCGTGAGTAGGTTAAGAGTTAGATTTTCAAAAAAATGATATCAAATAAAAGGTAAATATCTAAGGTTTTAATATAAAAAAAAATTATGTTTATTTGTTGATTTTTGAAAAAGTTATGGAAGTTTTAAGAAAAAAAAGTGAAAAAAATGACATAATTTATCGATTTTTAAATTTGTAATTTTTTTGGAGATTTCCCCTATTTGCGGGCAACGAGGGCAAATTTTTCAATTTTTAAGGGTAATGTCTTCAATTAAATACGATTTTGTGATCTTTTGACGTATTGTTGAAAGAAATTGGTCCAGTGAGAGCTGAGAAAAAGTGGCAACAGACATAAAAAAAAATGAACATAGTTCATTTAATTCTATTAAAATTATTTCTTTAATTTAACTTGAGGTGTAGGGGTAAAGGTTAATCTTAACGGTTCGGTTCTAAATTTTACACAGTTCATTTTTATAAGCATTAAAATAAATTAAGGAATAGCTTATGAAAAAATACATTCTATTTTTGAGGAATATTGTATTTTATTTAATGATTTTACGTTGTTACCACAAATGAGAGATCGCCTATTAATTGTAAAAATTATTTGGTAGTGGTTTGGCGCATTGGATTATTAAGTTATCGCCTTAGCGCTGATGTTCTGCATTGATGATTGTTGATGTGTTGAGGAACTTTAACAGTACTACACACCTTGGAACTTGTTGGCTGCCTCATATGTAATGAAGTTGGGTCAGGTCGATAGCAAGAGTAATAATTCTGTTAAATCATTGTAAGGTATAGACTCTAAATAGTTGAGATACAGGCTACGGAGATGGTGATGATCATAATAATAGTGCACCATATGGTTATATTTTTCATTTTCAATTATTCCTTGTATGTTATTTAATTTATATGTTTATTTAATATTGTTTCACTGATAAATATTAAATTAAATTAGTCACTGAAACATTATTAATAACTTATGGGATTAAAACAATTTAAAAATTATTAATGCTGGTGAGATAGCAAGGGGTGGTGTAGTTGTTGACAGTAGAAACACGGATTAGAGATGAAATTGTACAATGTTTAGCTTCAGTATATGAAGAAATGAGAACCAGGACATATTCTATCACTTTTAGGATTTCATTATTGCTGACTCTGTGGTTGTCATGGAAACCTATCTCTATTGTCTTCCCGGCAAAATCCATCCATGTATTATTTACGACTAGCGCCACAGCTTTAACGATCTGCTTCATCCCACGCAGTATTCACGATGTTTTCGTTTAGTGTAGACCTTTTAGACATGTTTAATATTTCTTACCAATCTGATACGAAAGTAAGTTTAATATATATCAGTATCTTATCTAGTATGAAAATACATCTTGGATTTTAAATGATAACATAAGATTGGGGTAAAATTCAATCATTCAAACAATTATAATGCCAAATAAGAATTTAAACATAATAATGTAGTAATGATTTAGTACAACACTATGTGAATAGTTTAGTGGTTTAAAATTTTTTCTTAGAAAAAGGAATTCAAAAAATTAATTTCAAATTAAGAAGTATTCAATGAAGATATTGATATTTAATATGATAAAATATAAATATTAAATCATTAATATGGATTAATTTTTTAAAATTCTCTCATTACTTTTAACCACTTTAAATTTATTCACTAGGTCATGTTAAATAAATATTTTAATTAATTTCCTTGTTATTCAGTCAATTCCAGTGCTTTACAAAAATACTAATTTATTAAAAAATTTATTTTAACTTAATTTTTCAATAAATTTACTCGTATGTACATATTTATTGTGATAAAAATTGAATCATTGTTATGCTTATATCTTACAGTTTTTAGATTCAAACTGCGTTTTTACTATTTTTATTTATCTTGTGGTTTTTAAATAGGGCTGAGCCTTGTCAATATCCTCCTCGTTGAGAATATTGTTTTATTATAGCTTGTTCTTAACATACAAATATTTTTAAGTAAAATTCTGATTTCGAGATTTAATTCTTTTTTATTAACTATTTTTATCTGGTTTTCACAGCATATGTTATATACAGGAAAGTGATAAATTGAAAACAATTTTATTTTAATTATTTTTGTACTTTTTAGAATATGTATAGTAGGAGATATTGAAATGTTTAAATAAAATTTCAAATTATGATTACTCTAAATATTTCTATTATTCAGTATGATTGTTGATTGGTAATGTATTTATTTTGATAACTTTTTTACATCAATATTTTGTTAAAGAGTTTAATATTTTTAGGTATGTTAAACTTGTGGTAAATCATCCACGAAAAATAATAGCAATTGTCATTTTTTTTGGAGTGAGTTCAATCTTAGTTCCATATTCAATTGGACGGTTACCTGAGTTTTCACATCCAGAGCTTGTAAGTTTTTAAGATAGATACATCCTTCTTATACATTCTAGCACAAAGGTGTAGTAGTTAAGTTAAAAATTTATTGAATCTATTCAGAGCTAGATTAAGACCTATATAAGCCTTGAAGCTGTAACTTAAGATTGGCCTCTCTATAGAAAATATTTCTATTTAAAATTTTTTGAAAAGATTGTTATTTTTAAATATTAGAAATGCTTAAAATAGGGAAATGGTTATAGTGCCTTATAGATTTTATTTAGGCTATGTATTCAATTTTGTTTGTTTTACAATTCAAAAAAAATATATACTTCAAATTTTAATTTTTAATTTTTTAGGGCTTTGAAACACGAGGTACTGATATCGGTGATCGACAAGTAGCTTGGGATAATTTGATAAAAACATTAGAAAAAGGGACTGAATTATTAGATGATGTAACAAGGGTACCAATTAATATTTTACCTCAGAACTATGAAGAAATGACAAATAAAAAAGAAGATAAAGTAAAACAATTGGTAAACTAATTTTTGAAATAATGTATATTAGTAAAAATTAATATTTAAATTATATTAAATATTATAGCCATTTGTCTAGTATTTGTAGTGAAAGAATATTTTTCAACTTGGAAATATTAAAAAANAAAAAAAAAAAAAAAAAAAAATGAAAATTTGGTATATATTTTTTAGTTTTTTTTTTTTAATTAAGGATTACTTATGACAGCCAGTTTTTGTGATTGAATCTAGCCCCTTAGGGATTTTTTAGGGATGGGTAGATAAATCTATCCCAAACTAATCCAACTAATATGAGAAGTACTATGACCCAATAAGTTCATACCATCACGTGATACTGTATAAAAAAAGGTAGATCCTTATGATAATATGTGCCATAACATCAATTTAACTTAATAATAATAAAAAAATTAATTTTTACAGTACATTAGTATTTTATTGCATCCCAGTAGATATAAATGCTTCAATTATAGGTACGTAATGTGTAAAATACAGACAAGATATTGCAGTTTATTTATAAACAACCAAAGTATAGTTAAATTTAATAAAAATTAACTTTCTTTTATAGGTATAGGAAATCTTAATTTTGTTAACATTATAATACAATTTAAAAATAATTTAAATGGTAAATTGGATGATGAATTTATAAATCTTTTAAAAAATTGGAAATAGATATTCTACGAAGGAAAATATTTTTGTCTATGTGGCTATGCTATGAAATTATTTGAAAGGAAAACAGCATTAGATAGAAACACGCAATAATAAGTCATTATTAAAATTATTAACACTCAAGTGTCAATGAATTTCAAAAGTGAATAAATAAAATGATTTTCTTAATTCTCAAACATGATACACTCATGATAGTTATCATAGTTGAATGCTCTTTATCTTTTTTGAATAACTTTTAAAGAAAGCCTTTTGTCAAATATCTTTTATACATTCTTATTCAGGATAAAAAATATTTGATTTAAAAAAAAAACTATGGGATGATGAAATGCATTATTTAAGCGAAATTCTAATTTTAGTTTTAAAATAATAAATTGTGTTTAGTTATTTTGAAAATTATGAACTAGAAATTTATTTAATTAAATAATTTATTACATTTTTCATAATAATCCTTAACATTTTTATTATGTTGTAATAAAGAATATTGAGAAACACTAAGAATATCACTATCCTAATAGCAATCTGTAAATATTTTACAAAAAAGCCGAAAATGAAACATGAATTATATAACATTATGATATTTACTAATACCATTTTTTTATTTTTTGAAATTACAAAAATGAATGTATAAAATTTAATTGTAATAAAATTATAACAAATGATTATAAGAACAAGAAGAATTAGATCATTGATATAAAAAAAAATTTTATATACAGGTTATTGGACAATTCTCACGTCACAATATATTATTATTTATTGTGACATGAGAAATAAAAAAAAATGTTTAAATGTAAAAAAAAATTATATTTGGAACTAAATATAAAATCTATTATTAAATGTCTATTAATTACTTCATTTATTACATAACTATACTATAGTGGCATACTCAAGAATTTGCATTAAGGAAATTAATAACAAAAAAATGTATTGTTTTTTTCTTAAAATATAGTTATAGAATGGCCTTTGAAGGAGACTTAGCTCTTTATGCTTCCCATGGGTATGTTACTGGTCTGTTATAGAAGTGATAATTAGGGGATATATTAAAAATGTATTTTACATATCGCTAGTAATATCTTATTTTTGTACAACATTAATTATTTTGTACATTTTTATTAAAATATTTAATGTATTCTTTAAATATACATGGTATTTAATTATTTAAGGTGAAAATGTTGTTGTTTAATTATTTATTATACTTTATTTTTAATTATAAATATATTTATATAGGAAAATTCCCAGTTAAATGTTGAAAACTTAAGTGATGACTCAAAAATATCTGTTCTGCAAACCCCTCTATTGGATGATGAAGTTTTTGAGGAAACTGAAGTGATGACTTTAAAAAATGATAAAAAAATTCGAAAAAATCGATTAGATTTTTTTTGTTCTAAACCAAGTAATTTATATTTAAATTATTGATTTAATTGTACTCAGGGAAAAACTACTTAAGTTAAAAATGTAAAACATGAGTATATGTTGTACATAATTAAAAGAAAAAAAGGATTATGTTGGTAAAATGTTTTGAATATAAAATAACTATAACATGAGATGTGATCTATGTTGTTTCACCAATACAAACGTATAATATTTTTGAATCATGTATAAACTCATTTTTATAAATTTTCGATTTGAAAAGTTTTTCCCAAGTATCACCAAATTATGAATATCATTTGAAAAATTATCATTATGAAGTATTTTTGATTGTAATTTATAGAAAAACTTATCAGTAATCTCAAATTTATTAGAAAAATCTTAAAATTGAAATCCTGAAATTTTTAACATTTTTTAAATGAAAAAAAATATTATTTTTCTTGAATTAAATTTTATTTATTTATATTTTTTAGCATATGACCATGCTAGAGTTGTTTTCACTTTAAAAGAAGGTAATAATCTCCTTACATATGAAGCAGTAAAACATATGTGTATTATTCAGCAACAGCTAGAAAGTTTGGATGCTTATAAAGATGTTTGTGATTTGCAAGATAATGCGTGTTGTCCTTCGTGGTCATTAGTTAACTATATTACATTATTGAAAAAACACAAATCTTGTTCAGAAATTACTGTAAGGATATTTGTTATTTCAATTTTTAATTATGTATATGCTTTTAAATATTTACAATTTAGTTACATTTTTTTAAACATTTTTTAGCCAAAAGATATTAATACAACATTGACTATACTTGAAGGATGTGCTCATTATTATCATGATAATCAGTTATTAGAGTGGTCATTAGGATATCGAACTATACCTCGTCAATGTTTTCAATTTAATGTCGTATATAATTTGATGCACTATCACTTAGATGTTAATTTTATGCCACCACATGTAAGTAAATCAATTAATTAAAAATGTTTTAAATTAATTAAAAATTCGACAATAAAAGGTATTAACCTACAATTAATTTATACATTTTTTTAATATTTCAAAAAATATATATGTGCAACACTTATTTAAATATACTTTTTTTAGTTCTTTTTTTGTAATAATAAATACATTTTCAATAGTATAATTTATTTATCTGTTTATATTTTAATTTATAGGCTCCTACTCAAACTCTTAAGAGTTCATTGATGTTTTTACCATTTGGAAAAGGATCTGTAGTACATGTTTATGAAGCTATGAAAGACACAAACTTATCAACTTCATTAGTTGAAATTTCAGCAATTGATTTTGGTATGTTTAATATTATTTCATTTGGATTAAGAAATGTTAATTATTTAGTTTTTTTAAATTCTTTTGGTACTTTTAATTTATTTACTAGGATTTTGTAAAAACTTAATTTCTTTGTTATTCGGTTAATTATATTGTCAATATCATCCTCATTAGGTTGATTATTTTATTGTGTAAAATTTTTGAAATTGCTTTTTTAATTCTGGTGAAGGAAATGTTATTATAAAAAGTATGTAACAACCCTATATGAACATTTTATAGTAATTTAGTTTTTTTTATACACATTTCTAATATTTAAGAGAAAATAATGTGAGAAACAGTATCTTATGCATTTATGTAGTCAAGATAAACATATGGTATATTGGCACTGACATAAATACTAAATTACTTATAAAATTTTAAAATATGTTTCTAACACGTGGCTACAAACAAATTATTCAAAGTTCAGAATTAAACTCTATACATGGTTAGAAAAGTGAAAGACAATAAAAGTAAAATATTTTTGGCAGGCTATTTATTTTCTCTCTGCGTGTCTATTGCCAAATTCTGTTTTATAAGAATATTTCTTAACATGTTTTAATTTTTTTGAGATTTTATACTTATATAGATAGTAATTTTAGTTAGAGGCGTATTTAGAAATTATTTTATGTGGAGCTTAATATTTTTTCTTTGGTAAAAATGCTACAGAAAACTTTTTTGTAGTAATGACCAAAAAATAGGTTCTTAGAGAAATATTTTATTTATATTGGCTTTAAAAAATATTGATAAGTCTGTTCTAGGGGACTGATCACCCCTATTGCTTTACCCTTTAAATAACCCCTTGATTCTGATATTTAAAAATATTATTAATTTTACACATATTTATAGTAATAATTTTTTTTGTATTTTTAGGTATTAAAGAGAAAGTATTTGATATTGAGCTCGTAAGAGATATATACCTTATTTTCCTTAGCATTTTATTCATAATGGTTTGTGTATTATCTTATACATGGTCTTTGATAATCACTTTAGTTACTCTTTTAAATATATTGTTTTCCTTATCTATTTCCTATTTTATATACACATTCATTTTGCATATTGAGTTTTTTCCATTTATGAATGTTCTTGCGGTCATTGTGCTTATTGGAGTCAGTGCAGATTCATCATTCATCATGTGTGATGTTTGGAAAGTCATAAAACTCAATAATCATAATGATTCTTTAGTTGAAATAATTTCAAAGACTTTAAAACATTCATTAATGTCTATAACACTTTCCACTACAACAACGTTTTGTGCTTTTGCTTCGTCTTTTTTAAGTGCCATTAATGGAATAAGTTGTTTTAGGTATGTATTTTAAGTATTAAAAATTATTAATATTATTTAGTTTTCTTAAGTGATAATTAATTTTTTTAAATTTTTTTATAGTATATTTTCTGCTATGGCTGTACTTATTAATTTAATAATAACTGTAAGTCTTTTGCCCTCCTGTATTGTTATTTTAAGTACACAGTATAGAAGTGAAATAACAATGCTAAGTGTTGGGTCAGCTGATAAATTAATAAAAATGGAGCAATTTTTACGAAAAATGCAAACATCATTTAATGCTTGGTTATTGAAAGTTGTATTCAGGTTTCGATGGGTTTGGATTTTACTTATTTTTATGTTAAGTCTAATTAGTATGTGTATAATCATTATATGGCCTGGAATGAAGCTACCAGAATCAGTTGAATTTCAACTTTTTCGAGAATCACATCCTTTTGAACAATATGATTTAGTTTATAAAAATCAATTCTGGTTTGAACGAATTTTACGGGTAATGTATAAATAAAGTTATAATTTTTTATTTTATTAAATTATTTTAATTTTTTTTAGATTGACAATAATCCTGAAAATCGGGTTCCACTACGTTTTGTTTGGGGCATATTAGCTAATGATACTGGTAATCATTTAGATCCAGAAGATCATGGTACTTTAGTATATGATCCTGATTTTGATATTGCTCACCCTAAATCCCAAGTCTGGTTATTAAATTTTTGTATAACATTACGTGCTCAACCATTTTACCGACCAGTAGGTGGTCCACAACTTACAAACTGCTTTATGGAAACATTTATAAAATGGATGGATAGACCTTGTGTTAGTCCAGTAGATCATAATCGTTGGCCTTGTTGTAACAGTTATCAATTTCCATTTCCAAGAAATATTTTTCATTATTGTATTTTGAAAGCTATGTATATTATTTATAGTACTCCTAGCTCTTTATTTGTTCCTTCTGCAGCTGGCCCTAAATTTTCAAATCCATTGTTCTATCCTAAAAATCAAACACTAATGCCAATCATGAGAGCTGTTGTTGTGGAGTATGAAAGTAATTTTGTTTTTACCACATCCTATGTGGATATGGATACATTTTACAAACAAGTAAGTTTGTTATACATGTAAATTTTCAGAAATATTAATAAATTTGTTTTTAATTATTTCAGGTTGAATCTTGGTCTTCAAAAATAATGACAACAGCACCGCCTGGTATGAGAAATGGTTGGTTTTATAGCCATTTAGGTTTTTATGATTTGCAAAAAACTTTGATTGAAGATACAATTATGTCTGCTATTATTGCCCTTCTTTTAGCATTTATTATTATGTTTTTTGTAACCACGAGTATCTCATTAACTTTGATTACTGTTGGAACAATATTTTTTATTATTTGTTCTACAATTGCTGTCTTAGTTTTAATGGATTGGCGGCTAAATGTTTTGGAGTCAATTGCTACTTCAGTAGCTATAGGTTTATCTGTAGATTTTAGTCTACATTATACAATGGAATATCAATTAGCTTGTGAAGAGTTACCTAGAGCAACGGCTGTTTCAAAAGCATTATCATTATTAGCTTGTCCTTCATTAATGGGTGCAATTACTACTGGTGCAAGTGGAGCATTTATGTTACCTTCAGATGTTTTGCCTTATGCACAATTAGGCATATTTCTAATTATTATAATGTTCATAAGTTGGTTTTATTCAACTTTTCTCTTGGTTTCATTACTATCAATATTTGGTTCTAATTACAGCCAAGGCCCTTACCCATACCGATGTTGTAGAAAATTTCAAAGTAGAGATAATAATGAAATAAGTAGAAACCATATTAGACATGCTTCTCCATTTTCTAACATTGCATCAGAATCAACAGTATCATGTATAAGTACAGCTATAACAAATCAACCATCAGGGCAAGAATTAGAGACATTAGCTGTACATTCATTAAAGCCTCAAACATCTAATTTTAAAAATACCTCTAAATTATACTTGGAAACTGATGAATTTATCAAAATTAATGAATCACGAAGTTCAATGCATCTATAGATGCATGGAATTCTTCATAATTATTTAATATTATATAAGCTTATTTCTAAATCAAAAGGTTTTTTAGTTTGTATAAAAAAAACTACAAAATTTTAAATACCTATTGCGTACTATTGATCTCAGATTATTAATGTTTATTGAAAACTGTTTGTATTTTAAAGGAAAATCTGAAAAGTTAATTAAAATTTTAACAAAACAGTAAAGCTGTTAACTAATTTTTAAGTAATTCTCGAATTATAAGTAATTGATAAGTGAGAAAAGTGATGTGACTCTTTGAACAATTATTTTTTATGTTATAAAAACTAGAACTATTACCACAAATTATTCATTTAAAAATGCGTCAACAATTGTAGGATAATTTGTTCTATATTTTAAATTAAAGTAACTTTGAGTCCAGTTTGTGTTCACTTTGGGTAAATTATAATTTGTAGTGAAAATATTTATTATTTTTGCATCACTTTAAAATGTCATTTTTAATAATCTATATTCTATTATTTTTTTCCAATAAATTTTTTATTTAATTGCAAAAAATTGAAAATATTCTTTGTAAATTCTTATAAATTCCCATTATGTGGCTTTATTGTATATAGTCTTATATTAATATTTAAATAGATTTAAAAATGTTACTCAACTCTACCAAACTAGTTTGTTTTATTTTACGCAGAAATTATATAAACATATAAAAAAAAATAATATATGGTAATGGTTGATGATATACGACAAACATATATATTTATATATACAGCCAAAAGATATCTCATAAATTTGGATTTACTAAATAAAATTAGGTAATTTTTATTTATAATAAGTTTTTCTAACTATTTATTTTGTCATTTAAACTATAATTTCGGTTAGCCCAATTTTAAAGATTTTTCTGTATTGAAAAATTAATTGTTATTTTTAAATAATTTTGTTAAATTGCCTTAAATATTAAATAAATAATGGATTTAGAAAATTATATAAGGTTTATATTAATTAATTAATTTTATTTTGTACGATTTTTTACAGAAATTTGTAATTTATATATATTTATTCTGTTTGTATAATTTTTATTAATATTTGTTTAAGTTTATAATGTTACCACAATAAAGGCACAAAAAAAATGTTAATACTTTAACAGTTATACATATATATAGCCATGGATATATATTCAACAATGTTGCAAATATGTTTTATATGTAAAAATATATTATTGACATAATTGTGTTTTTAGTTCAAATAGTTACAAGTTAAATATAAAACTTAATTATTGAATGCTTTTTGTCTTCGGTGTATTTCATGAAATATTAAGGTATATAATACTTGTAATATGAAATATATAATGAGTATATGTTTAATATTATGAATAATCAATTATGTTATACTGCATTATATTTTATACTGTTTCTTTTTACATAATAAACAAAGCAGTATAAATGCAATGATTTTTTTTATTAAGAAAATGATAGCGTTTGTAAATAATCTATAAGATATTTGAAACAGTACCAATATTAAAATAAAAAAGATTTATAAATGGTTATTTGCGATCATATTAGGTCAAACATAAGTAATATTATAAGTAACTTGTAGAATTTAGAGTTGTAAACGCGTTTCTCAGTGTAAAGATATAGCAAAATTAATAACTAATTTATTAGAAAGGCAGATAAATGATTTTTGACTCATCGGGAAATATTAAATGAAGTCCCTAGAGTTAAGAAAATAAATTTTACAATTCATTTTTTACATTTCATCTTACAATACATCTTTAAGTTTACATAGAATTTTTTAAATATAACATTTGAAAAAAATTTCCCTCGTTTCCCGTAAATGGAGGAAAACTCCAAAAAAATTACAAATTTGTAAAATCGCTAATTTTCGACATCTTTTCAATTTTTTTTACTTAAAACTACCATAACTTTTTTAAAAATTACCAGATCAATATAATTTTTTTTTATAGATGCATGATGTCTTTACCTTTCATTTGGTAAATTTTTTTTATAAATCTGACCCTTTACCTGCCACAGAGGGATTTAAAATGACAACTTTTTCACAAAAAATTAACTTTTTCAACTTAACTTTTGAAAGTGTTCCGGAAAGACTGACAATTTTATATTTAACTAAAATTAAAGTTAATGTAATATACTTTATAATGGATAAAAAAAAAATTCCGACTTTATTTTGTCTTCACGGTGAAAATGGCTATTTTTGTGTAAAAATCACGATTTTGTATTTTACATTTTTAACTTTATTATGCTATAACTTTTTGAAAAATGTATGGATCAATACAATTTTTTCATGAGAAGTAGTATTTATATACATTTTTCATTCGACATACTTTATCTTAATCGGGATATTAATAAGGAAATAACAGATCATGTAGCTTTTGGAATAATCCACCAATTCTTTAAAATTGAACACTATTTAAAGATTTGCATCGGAGCGTTTTCTACGATAGTGATTTTAATCACTGTCAGATATAATTATACTTGACTTAACTATGTCATATCACCACTGTGTTGGTTTTTTTGTTTTTTGATTACGTTTTTACAAAATATTTCTTTAAAAACGTTGTAATTATAACTTTTTCTTGCTCTGATTGAAAAAACTTCATCTAAGGTATAAAGTGCTTATGTTTACAATAAAATATAAAATACTTTGCAATGCCATTATGTTTGCGTTAGTGTCAGCTGGGAGTCGAAAATCAAAAGACATCGTACAAAACACATTTCTTTAATATTTAATGTTTATAATATTTACACAAGTTTTACATTCAAGTCTTGATACTGAACAAAAACTATTATATAAAATTATGTTTGAATTAATAGGTAACGTTGTATTTTAATAATTACTTTAAAAACTCAACAAATTTATATAAATTTAAAATATTTATAATAAAAAAAAAAAAATCAGTCGTTAAATATAATTATTGTATACTTAAAAATTGTTAATTGTTTTTCACAATTTATATTAATACAATTGTGTGTATAAATAAAATTATTAATTTTTCGAAATTTTTGTTTACTTTATGTAATTAATATCTGCTCAATATTTATAAGTGCAATATTTACTAGTATTTATAAATATTGTATCTCTCCGGTTAATTTGCATTGTTATATACAAATATTTACTGTGTTGTAATTTTTTAATCGACAAAAATTTTAATTTTGCCTTTGAAAATTATATAAATTTTGAAAATTTTACTAACAGAAAAAAAAATAATAATTTATACATTTTTAATTTTTCTAATTTTCTTTTAATTATTTTTGAAGAATGCATCGTTATGGATTATTAAGGACATAATCGCTTACCTCTATTTAAGGATTTATAAAGTAAGCTAGATAAAAATGGTATTTGATCTGAAAAAAATCGAGCTAACAAAATTAGATTTTTTTTTTAGTTTTCTTCCATAGTGCAAAATGTTTTTGTATGTAATGTAAAATTAATCGAAAGTGGTATTAAATAACTATAAAATAAGATACTGTAAATTTATTTGTGTGACTCCTTAAAAAAGTTTTTAATGTAAATACGTTATTTTTTGCTAGGATATGTTTTGTACGTTTACGAAAAAAATGAATGCTTTTGTCTTAGCGACTTAAATATATTTTGTTTACCATGTATTTGTTTGTTGTTAGTTAAACTGTGTTTTCTAGATAGGTGATAATTAATACTTTGTAATATTATTATAATTATTATAGAGTCGAATTATTAAATCTAATAACATTCATTTATATAAATTAGAACTGAATTTGTACATGTAATACCATTACGGCTCAATTGCATATGTAGCTACAAAAAGTTGTGTCGAGAAATCCTAAAAACCATATCTATAATTTTATTTCATTTATTTAAGTAGATAATCATTATTTTTGAAATAAAAAATAAAATGCTTTAACATCGCTTATTTTGTTTTAAACGGTTAATTGAATTAAATAATAAATAAATTAATAAAAACTATACAGTTTTATCAGTATATTATGGAGGAACGGAATAAGATATTAAAATAGAAGTTCTTGTAATTAGGATTTATGTAAATTAAATATTAACTAAGTGTATAAATTAAAATAACTATATAAAATAAAATAATTGATTACCTTAATTTAATTTTGGTGTTACAATAATAGTATAATCTTACAAACCATTTTTATTTGTTAGAATTATATATATATATATATATATATTGTATTAAATAAATGTATGTTAATAATTACCTAACTGGAGAATGCTACAGAATAAAAGAGGGCATGTGTCATAACACTAATAACAGTCCTTTATTATTTTGGATAGACAGTAAAAAAAATGTTGTGACATTATTGATTCAAATTGTAAAATAATTATTCAATCAATCATTATTCTTTTGGTATTGAGATATTTAAAATATCAAAAGATGTTTCAAAAATAATTTAAATAAATGAATCTGTGATAGATATTTTTTTGTGCGTTAGTGACAATATGTATGTATTTGTAGGTGAATTATTCAAACTTCTAATATTTTTAGTATACTTAAAATTTTAATATACTGTACAACCTTATAAAATTATCTTAATATAAGATACTTAAACGTGATTTGTTTTATCTTTCCTAAGTATTTATTAGTAAAATATATTTAAACGAAAACAAACATTTTTAATAAATTTATAGGGTTAAATTTGAGCCAATTTTTTTAAAATTATAATATCTAGCAAATAATAGATAGATAGATGTATTAAGATAGTTAATTATTTAAAAAATATTTTCTATTATAAATATTTACGTTATATAAAAATCTTAATTAATACTTAAGGTTTTGAATACTGCGTGTATGTTAAAAAATTAAAATAAATCGACCTTTTTAAAAAAAGTAAGTGATATAACATACAACTCAGGTTTTAAAGTATTAAAAGAAAGATAAAATAATCACTCTATAAAGTGTTTAAATACTATTGCAATAAATTTATGTTAAAAAAAGTTAACGACTAATTATGAATTCGGAAGTCTTATCAATTTATATCTTAAATTAAGTTTTCTAAGCTCATTCAACGGTGTCATCATCAAAATCCTTTCATTAGAAACAATACATTCTGGATGTAGTAGGTTTTGTTGATGCTTGAGATGAGCAAGGCAACCTATTAACCATTGCCTTGCTGTTGTTTTGTCATCCATAAAAATATTGTGAACTATCATTTCTACATAAACTCTTTGGCGCAATACCACCATTGCCAAATCTAACCACCTAATAAAAAAAAAAATCGAATTTTATACTTATATTAAAAAACGTATTTTCTTAATTTATAATAGTTTATATTATATTAGTATTGGCTTTAATCCTTAGGTGAGAACCTATTGGTTTTACTTTGTCGTTTTTTTTTCTATTGTGTCTGTATACACAACTTCACCCGCTAGTCAGTAATTTTACTAGACTGTTATGATTAGTGACAACAGTTTTTCTGATTATTTTATTTTCGCTCATCAATTTTCTTATAATAGCGATATTTTCCATTTGGGGACTCATCTCAATATATCAACCCATATAAGTCTTAATACCTACATGGATCGATTTTTCTCAACAATTCATAAAAAAATCACAAAACGTATATAGTTGAAATTATAAGCACCATAATTTTGAAAATGTCCGTAATAAAGGGATAAGACCCAAAAATTACAGTTATTATAAATGTCAATGTTGACATTTTTAGTTTTCACTTTATATTGAATTAAGTTTTTGACAATTGAATGATTTATTGCGAAATTATTATTGATAATATTTTTAGACATTTTCCTTGTTGACACAATACTTTTTTTGGAAATTTAATCATTAACTAAAGAACTGTGGTAGTTTAAATATTATATTAACATTTTTTTTTTCAATGTTTATTATGTTCTAAAAAATTTATCTTTTCTAAACCTACATTAAATTAAAGCTAATATAAATTACTTTATGATGAAAAAACAATAAATGTCCAAAATCTCGATTTATAGGAGTTAAAGCTAAAAATTCATATAATTTTTCGTAAAAATGGAAGATTTCGAAATGTTTTGTATAGGACATTTACACCATTCAAAGCTAAATCAAATTTAAGGTTTTTTTTGTGTACTACAAAATTAAAAAAAAAAACGTTCCATCGACTTGTTATCTATGAGTAATTGGCCTCTTAAGTAGTTTAAAGATAAAAATAATAATTAAAAACTAAAAAATATTGAACTCAAAAAGCCACAAAAATGACTAAAAAATCGCTTTTATGTCTTTCGGAAACAATGTTATCAGCCTAAATACATATATATTCTTAAGATGATTATCATTTAATTTTCGTGAATATGATAAACCGCTCTAACCACTCGAATAAGATTTGGATCAAAATACATATTTTAGTGGTAATATTTAAATCAAATATCTTTATTTTAATATACTTTTTTTTTAAATCCTATCATTTACTAAATTATTGAGAAGGGTTGGGTTGGGTAATAAACATAATCATCACATCAAAAATTTTTTAGTTTTTAACTTTTTGTAATGTTTCAAAACCCTACTTTCTTCAAACCTACATTACATTAAAGCAAATACAATTTATTTAAATATGAAAAAGAAAAATTATACGAAATATCGATACTGAGATTTCGTAAAAACTCGAGAGTTTATTGACCATTAAAGCTAAAAATTATACAATTGTGGTAAAATTAGCCAGTTTTATAATACTTTGCACAGTATAGGAGTACATCATACTAAAATATTTAAAATTAAAATTTGTTTTATGTAATATATGATTAAAAAAATAAAAAAGTTTCGGTGACTTATACTCTATGAGTAATCAAATTTTAAAGTTAAAATACATTTAATTTTAGTATTAATATTACATTTTTTTAAAATATGTTTTAAATAAACATGGAAGTGTTTTACAACAGTGATTTTTATTCACTGTTAAATATTAATAAATACTAATCTAAAAAATGCTTTTATTTTATTTTACTGGATTTCTTCTGTACTTTATTAATTTTATTTTATTTTAATAGGAGTAGTGTTGTTTTTTCATTTTTGCCAAACGTGAACAATGCTTTTGCTTTATTTTTTTTTATTAAATATGAAGGTAACTCCAAAAAAATTATTAAGTAGTATTTTTGTCTTTCTCTTGGCTATAAATTTACTAAAATATTCAGTAGTTTTACGCTATTTAGGTTTAGATACTTGATTATTTGCTTGGGAGTTTGAATAATTTTATAGGAAAACTTAATAAATTTAACCCAATAAAAAATGATGTGTTTTACAAATTCATATGCAGATACGGGTTGGTTTTTGAATTTCGGCCCAGAAAAACAAATAACATTAAGCAGCTTAAGAATAGTCGTTTACATTTGTCCCCTGGCTAAGCGTTTGTATTCGTTAAGTACACAAAGATACGTTACTGAGGTTTTGCGAACAATTCCTTTCGAGAGTTCAAATTTGTGTAAAATCGTTATATATTGATTGTGATCTTAGATAGATACTTAATGTTATCCTGCTTACAAAGAATAAATTAAAAAATATAATTTTGTTTGTAATAAAATAATCTACTAATATTATATTATGTCGCATTTTATTTTTTCAACAATTTTTGTTTCGTAAAATATAATCCAAAACGCGTATTGAATAATTTTTATATTTGAGTATAACAATGTTTTTGTAATACTTTATTTTTAAGTTAAGTGTATTATACAAGTAAAAGGTAAGGTATAGATCTGAAGAACCATGGTCACTAAGCTTCAACATTTAGCGACCTTAACATTCCCTAAAAAAGCATATCATAAAATATTAAGTTTAAGTAATACTTATGTTACAAGGGCCTTATTTAATTTTGGACCTGAACCTCGGAATGTCTCATTTCGGGCTTGGAAAAAGTACTGTGATTACATAGATTTTTATTTTGATAGGAGTAACAAAAAATGGTTTCCAATTGTTCGCGTTTCGTTTGTACTGGATTTTTTTCTTACTTTTTAATACTTTCATTGGTGGAATTTCAGAGCTGCAACTACATAGGCGCTACAATTAAGAATATTGTATTTATCTACTATTAAATCTTTTTTGTATGGGAGAAAATGAATTTATCAATAACTAATCCTCCAAAATATTATTTTAGTTGCACCACTACAGAATTTGAAAAAATTTGGTAGTGCAGAGTAAATTTTACCGCTGTCTAGAAATATTATTTTTTGGAAAACTTAAATTTTTGAAGAGAGGTACGTATTTAATAATCGTGCTGCCAATAATATATATTTTCATTTTGCTTATCAAATACATTTTGTTTTGCATTGCTATTTTTTTTCAATTTTACGTACACCCTTACCTAAAGCTCTAGCTAAAGTAATATTTTCAATTTTAAATGACATAAATATTGAAATAATTTTTTTGACTTTTCCAATTTTTAAGAAAAAAAAATTTAACTTATAATATTGTAACGAAATATTTATTTATTTGTTGTTTGTTCTTACTTCACTTGGTGACAGTTGTTGAATTTGTGTTGGTATTACAGTAATGGGTAGTTGTGTGATATCTGTTAAATCTATATCAGCATCTACCTCACTGATATTGTCACCAAAAGCGTTTGGATCAGATGATAGATCATGATTTGAGACTTCGGATTGGTGTTTGCTGTCTAAATGACGTCTGGAACGTTGCCATGCGAACTTGATTCCTATTACGCACATCAGTGACAATATTCCACCGATTAAGGCACCACCTAAATAAATGTAAAGCTTTTCCCGCTTTTCTAAACAAACCAGACACAAAATTGGTTAAATTAACTGAAATAATTTGAAATGCAGTTTTTAGCCGATTTTGAGTTTGCAACTTTGTTAATAGTGTGAGATAAATGTAATATGTGTTTAAAAATGACATAACCTTCAAGTCGAGTACGAGTCTTCAATAAAGTACGATTTAAAAATGAAAAAAAATATAAACAATACAATTGTATTTGTTTTAAATTTGATAACCTTAATAAATTTTGATTTAACTATAATATATCATTGGTATCATATAAATATTTAAAACTTACTATGAGATATTTTGTATGTTATGTAACCAAATGTAACGAGTTTAGCTAAAACGCTACTTTCACTAGCTGTTTTTTTTGTAGTAGCATTTTGTCCAAGATTCACAATTGGCTGTTGAGACAAATGTCGAGATATCGTACCTAAGTTATTCGTATAGACTTTATCATTAATTTTTTAATTTACTTTATGTTTTAGCCAAGAAGCGAAGGATACTTATAGGCTCGCCAATAAGTATATGGATTATATTCGTGCCAGTTAAAGTAACATAGTGAAGCTCAAAATTTCTTGTTGTAGAAGTCGATGCTTACCCTAACAAGCTAGCCGTGACGTAAAATAGCGTATTAGTGTGTATAGAGTGTGGAATGATAAAAGCCATAGGTGAAATTAACAATGACGTGTAATAATTCTATGTGAATTTAATTTCGAAATATGTCAACTTATTGTAAAAAATATGTGTTAGTTATTTATAAAAAAAAACAATATTCAACATGTTCAATTAATGAGTATTTTAGAATAATTTTTGGACGAAATAAGTTTTTATAATAATTAATAGTTTTGCATTTACAACTTGCAAACCATTTCATTAAACTGTACATATCACTTAAGATAACTGTTAATAAAACAATTAATAATATTGGTAAAATGTTTAAAAAATGTCTTTATAAAACTGTTTACTGATTTGTACACATACACGGAGAAGTAAATAATTAATTTTGAATTATTAAGTTATATGTGCATAAATTATTATAAAAAACGTCTGAATATTTAATTTGACACGAAACTTAACGTTTATACAATTTAAATAGTTTTATTATTTTAAATAAACATGGATTTCAATAATCGAACACTAAAAATTGGAAAATATCATAGTGATTTCCAGTGCAACACATTTGTAAATTTATTTGATTTGTGAGTATTATATTCTTACCTAAAGACGAGCTGGATGAATTACTGTAGTCTGAATTGTCAAAAGTTGACTTGTTATGTCTTGGATCGTTAGCTGGTGGCGATAACGATTCAAATGGCTGTATTGGTGCTACGCCCGGGTTGTCAAAGTAGTCTAGTTCCATTACAGTTGGCTCGTCGGAGTGAGCGGGTTCTTCGAATTGTTCTTTTAAAACCCTCCTGGGTACTATTAAAAAAAAATATTGACAAAATGTAAATTACACAATTACATACTACTCAGTTATCAGCATTACATTTGAAGTTTGTGTAACTATTTATTGTTTGTATATATTGTACAACATATCAAGTCATATGTAAATAGTTATTTAAATTAGTACGTCTACTTTATAGCGTACTCGAAGGAGTATTAAAATTACCATATATCGACATTTTAATATTACATTTTCGTTTTAAAATAATTTTTCTTGTGAGAGCTGCCCTATCTTTTATTGAAAATCGTGAAGATATAATATTTTTTTTCACGTGTGTTGGTAAAATGTAACTTACCAAGTATTACAAAATAATTAACAATTATTGATTTCTTTAAAAAAAATAATAATATGTGTAAATTATATAAAATTTAAAAAAAACTTAATATCAATTAAAAATGGTGTCGTATTTATTACGAGAGTTTTATTACTATTAGTATTACTATTATAACATATTAAATCACAAAATGCTGAAACTCTTGACAATTATTTAACAAAAAGGTATTACGTTTGCAAAACTTATTTTTATTACTTAGATTCTATATTCTTAGTTATAAAAATACAAATATTTGCTTTAATAGCTAATTATGGTATTGTGAACTGCAAATAAATCACCGCCTGTTGATTTTTTTGTCAAGAACTGTCAGTACAATTGAGCTCGAGCCAATTAAATTTAAGCGTACAGGTGCGTAAATCTATCAATAGGAGTTCGTTTAGTAACAATGTTAACTTAAGTTCAAAAAGGTATAATGTTATTTTCAGAAGACCTATTTTTAGCATGTAAAACGTTAAGGGATTTTGAAAAGAATACATTTTTCTACCAATCTATCATAATATCAAAATTTATTACTTCAAACATTTTCGAAATAAAGTGACTAAAGTTTATTCCATAAATTAATACAAAATATTTTAATCACATAATTACGTAATTTACATTATTATAGAAACTATAAAAATAAATTTATTTTATTTAATTATATTATTTCATTCCATATACTTTTCAACTTATGATATTTTAGCAATAGTCAACTGGGTGTCCGTTTAATCCATGTTATTTCTTTAATAGCAAAACGTGTAGTCTGATCGATTGAAAATCTCATGAATTATTCCATTGCTTATTTGCAAGTGAGTTAAAGTGAAAAGTTCAGAGTCGGTAGAAAATCAAGAAATAAATTTTAATGTTACAAATTTTTCACAGCAATATTTATTTTACCTAAAGCGTTGATCAATGTTAAGCACTCAAGCTTAAAAAAGATAACTGGTAAATATGAAAAAAGTTAACATTTTATTCATAATTTTTTTACTTACCGCAGTTGTAGACTACTTTTAAGTACATTCTTGAGGCCGGCTTACAAGGATTGCCAAACGTTGCAGTATCCGCTGCAAGCTTACAATTTCTTTTGCCGTGGCAAACTGACATTACAGTTTCCGTAGCGTAGCTTACTAGACAAGCTAAAAAATAAGTAAGACAAATTAATTTTATGTTAAACAGCTCTTTCAAAAAAACAAATTTTAAAAAACAGCATGGTCTAGGTTAATGTATTTAGTTTTGTTACTTACTTTCCTCTGGCACACCTTGAGGTTGAGGACATTGTATACTCTCATACTCTGTTCTACCGTAGCTAGCTGAAAATATGGCTAACCTTGAATTTTGATTACAATGCAGTTGAACAACTTCATTTTCACATGCTACTTTACTTCTAAATTCAACTGAAAAAATAGTTTAAACAATTTTTTTTTATAAATGAAATTTTAAGTATAATTAAGTGTCAACAATGGCCTCTCCAGAAGTTGATCGCCAACAGTGATCAACTCAATGACGTAGCCAAGAGTAAGTAGGTTATAATAGTTGGTAATGATGGTGCTTTAACCCCTTTAGCCTCTACCTTTATCATTTAAATAAGATTGTTCTAGTCATTCGGAATATTTAACGAGATCTGTGAAGTTTATGAGTTTACTATACCACTTGTCAAAGGATTAATCTAACAAAATCAGGATTAGTGGTATCCATCTACTAATCATGGATAATGTTGTGGCCCTTAATTAGCTAATCGGTTTCATTACATGAAATAAGGTAAAATCCAGGATTGGATTTATTGAATTAATAGGTTGTGGTAGTCTAAGAATTTCCAGACAATATTTAAATCATTTTTTATTATATTGATAACGATTCTAAAAATTAATTTATTTTTTATTTTTTTTTAATAATAATATTTTGAACACTCTTAAGTTGTAATAACTCTTAGCCAAACAATTGTAACTATTATAATTTTTTATTTTTGAGGACATTTATCAAAAAGTGTTATTAGGTTGCTAATGGTATCTTTATGTTATTGAAATGTTAATTACATTTAGATAGTTTTTTTTAATGAAACATTCATAGCTTATTTATTTATAACTATTATTATAAAAATATCACATATTGTCACTATGAAATAAAATAGGTTTCTATGCTACTTAGAAGAGCGCCAATTAGTTTAAAATAGATTTCCTCATTTACTCCATTAAAATATTATTCTAATCAGGCTAATGATCTTAACTTGAAATTTTATTTTTGGTTATAAGGTTTTTGCTAGCAAAAATATTTTAATGTCTATGTTTTATTAATTCATTTTCTTGAAAATAGTTTCGTTTAATTAAGAAGAAGCATAGATGAATTCGGTTTTTTTAGCTTTGGTTGTAAACTAACAACTTCATGGAGGTATCAGTTTTTTAACAACATAAAGGAGAGTGTTCTCTCCTTTAACTGTTTAAATATTTTTCTTTTAAAGTATAATAACAATACCGATTAAGCTTATCATTAGTAAAATTCTATTATGATCAATAAAAAATAAAAAATTACTTTAATTTGTTTTTTTGTAAAAGAAAATTTGCAGATATTTCCATTAAGTTAATAAATTTCACACGAGTTATGAACAATAGAAAGCATATGCATGTATATTATAAAATAATTAAATTCCTTACGGTTCAAAGAAAGAATTTAAATTAGATAAAGAACTGCCAAAAGGGTGAAGATAGAGGAATTTAAATTGATCTATTTTAGTTGCTTGACTGCACAAATTACAAATACCACCTATTTTGCTTTACTCGTAATCAGAAATTCATTTATTTTTTTATATGTAGCAATAAGTATATTTTATTTATATCCATTAGTCGAAGTAAACATCAAATTTTAGAGGTAACTTTCGAAAGTTAAATGGGAACCTACTATTATTTTTTTACAATTAAATGGAGAATAGTCTGGATAAAATATTGACAGGACGATAATCAGTTTTATTATATAATTTTTTGAGATGTTAGCATCTAAAACTTTACAAAATGTGAGGAAGAGAGTAGTGTTTTTAAACAAAAATATATTAAGATTGTTTTAACTACAAAAAATTATGTTATATAGTCATAGGTCTTTTAATAAAATTTTGTTGCAAATGAATTTATTTATAGGATCAAAATAACAATTAAATTAATCTCGAGTTAGAATCATTTAAGTGTTTACAAGTGATAAAACTATTTGTAAATTAAATCATTTTTTAACGAATAAAGTCGATAAGAAAAATTGGACATTATAACGTCGCACTTCAATTAACTTTAATAATTAAATTTAGTAATCAATTTTCTTTTTATTATAAAATCCTTATTTTTTCTTTAAGTTAAGAAAAAAATATTTATTTTGATTTTTTGTATAATTAAATTGAACAATTATTATTAATTATATAAACATTAAGTTTAATAACCATAAAGTTGAACAAACTTTTTAATCATTTGTTTAGTTGTATGATTATATTAGAGTCTCACTAATAAGTATTTTGCCTCTAAATTCCAATTATTTCTAGGGTTATAGTTTAAACCACTAAAGCTTCTGCTATACACAGTTATAATAATGTAAATTACTCATTCTACGTCTAAACTATGTTAGCTACTAACATTCGTTTTCGAATGTGTTGAAAAACATACGTTTATAAAAATCTAGTACCTTTGTTGTGTATACTTTGATGAATAGTACCTCAATATGATTCATATGGCATAGAAAAAATATCTATTTTGGGTAGATAAAATAAATTATGTGTTTTTAATCGTACATTTTGTTTGAACCTAATTAAAAATAGTATTAATGTTAAGTTTTCATGTATTTTGAAATAAGTTGTGTTACAAAAAACAATTCTATAACTTAATAAAGTTAAAGTTTATTGACTTTTATATTTTTATTATGAAATCATAGATTTAGAATAATATAAAGAAAATTTAAGAATTCTCCAGTAAATTGTGAATTATTTTAATTTTCAAATAATTACTTAGATATATTTATACGAAACTTGAGATATAAAAATTCATACATTTTGTAGCTCAGGTAGTCTGTAAATATTTATACGCAAAAAATATACATATCCCCTCAATAAACATTTTATAAGGGTTGGTTGATATGATATTAAAATTATGTAAAATTATAATAATTTTACATTTGATTTCTACAGTGTTGCTGTAATAAATTAAAATCGAACATTATTTATAAGTGTGTTATAAATCTACAATTGGAGAAGAATGGAGTGGTTATCTTATTCATAGAACTGTTTATTATCTGAGGCATACCGTTTTAACAATAGTCCGATTACAAAAGTTGTTTGGGTTGAGTACACGATAATATGAAATATATTTTGTGTTATTTTTACAGAAATTATTAGTTTATGTTTGATTCAATACTTTGTGATAAAACTACTATATATTATGGTTGTTATGTTATCTGCACATAGATACATTTAGTATATGTTTCAGTGTTTAAGTTACATCAAAAATAAATTTTAGAAAGAGAGCTAAATAAAATTATTTAAATATAATAAAATAATATACTTAGTTTTGATTGCTGTTTATTAAAAGTTAGATGTTTAGAGGTAGATGACCTCTGTAGACTGTGAGATATATTCAAATTAATAGACTTGAACGAAAAATAAGGAGCAACTGTTTATTATTGAATTATTAAATTTTCTATACACTTAAAAAAAAATTAACTTTTTAATTAAAAAAAAAGTTTTAATTTAAATCAAATGTTAAATTAATTAAGACTTCAATGAATAGTTCACCGAATTGTTTAATATTAATCACCTTAAGCGGATTGAATGTATTATACATTAAATGTGGTTATATGACACCCTTCGTGACATGCAAATGACTTAAGAATTTGATTAACTGTTATAACTCATAATCATATACGTTATTAGAAATAGATTTTAGAAGTAGAGATATTTTAGAATTATTTCAAAATATTCTTTTTCTTGGGAATTGGAAATTATAAAACATTGTCTTGTCGATCTATTGAAATTTATAAAAATACCGCTCGTGACATCAGTACCATTTATAGGATTAAATTTATGTTACCACATTTTTTTTCTGTTGATGTTATTAAATTATAAGTATAGTTCAACAATTTTATGGTATTGAGTGAACAGTGAACTTGTAAATAATGTTAGATTTTTATTTCTCGTTCAAAGAATTTATCAGTTCATGTTGAAATATTACTGGTAGGCACACTCGACCTGTAAACTTTCTCTCAAAAGTTTGTTTCCGCATATATCGTGTTTCTCTAAAATTTTTTTTTTAGATTCACTGTTTATTGTTCCCCAAGGTTACATATATCGATTACCTGAACTTTAGACTTATGTGTAGAGAAATATAATACTAAAAAAAACTCTCAAATTTTGGGTTTAAGTATTTTATTTCAAATTACAATTAAAAACCGCAAAACGTTTTATTAAATCTCAGTCTTAATTATATCTGTTTTACAAGAGTTCACAAAGGCCAAAAATTTAGTCAATTTTCATAGGTTATTTTTTTCTACTAATTTAAATAGATTGATAGATTAATAGTCTGATTGCTTTTTTTCGATTTTATAATTATAATTATAATTTCATTTTTTTATTAATATTCATTAAAAATATAATTTACTAATAATGAATAAATTTAAAACAAATTTGGTAGTTAATAGATGTATATATGTTTATTATAATATATGATCATTATATAACACATATAATGTTTTATAAAATAATATGGCTATGTTGTGCTTAATTCTCAAAGCCATAGAAACAATCAAAGTTTAATTGTTGTAATTTTATGCATTGTTATCATAAAATAATTTGTAGCTTAATTTAAAAATTGAAAATATTAAGAACATGGATTACTTACAAGGTCGACATTTGTAGTCTACTTGAATAAACTTTATATTACCCGGGCATGGATCGTATTTAAACGCAGCAGACGGCTGAACTCTGCATTGTTGTTTTTTTTGGCATGCTTCAACCACAGTTTGCAGGAGTGAATACTAAAAAATAAATAATCCAAAGGTATTATATCAAAAAAACTAATTTTACTTATCGACATATACTTATGCTAATGGTACCGGAAAGTTACAAAATTAGTATAATAATAGAAAATAAAAAATTTTCCAATCACCTATGTGCTGGAACTCACTCGATCGTTTCTCACCACCTATCAAAAAACACAACAATATCGGCGAGCAGTGGCACCGGAACAGGGAGGACAGTTGTCCCCTTGGTCAAAATACAAGGAGACAAAAGTATCATTATGCCCCCCTAATAGATTTTGACAAAACAAATTATAATGAATCTGGAAATTAATGTAGTACTACTATCCTTAATTATTTAGCTATTCAGACTTTAGGATTAAAAAGTGTTAATTAATTTACCTATTTCCAGTTGAATATCAAAAAACGGCATCACAGTGAAGTCGTGGGACAGTATGGACGTGGCATAGTTGGGACAAGTGTAGATGATATCTGACAGTGATTATAATCATTATTATAAGAAACGCTTTGATGCAAATCTGTAGATAGTGTTTAATTTTACGAAATTGGTCGATTATTCCAAAAGCAAAATTAACTCCTATGTGCTTTATTTATCCTGATTAGTGGTTTTTTTTATTTAAAAGTATAATATATGAATAAATAATAATTATAGTAATTAGATGTAGTATGAAATTGATATTCAATAATTTAATATTGTAATATTTACGGAGATGTTATAAAAATTATAAAGTAGTTGTTTATTTCTTTACTATTTTTTGTTCTACTTCGACTGCTATTTGTACATAGAAAATAGGTCGTCGGCACAACTTTTTTTTTTTCGAACTTCTAGTACATAAAATAAGCTTTATTTAATATATATTTAAAAGACGCAGATTTTCTAAAGTTAAGTTGAAAAAATTCTACTTTTTATACAAATTTTCAAGTTTTCAAAAAAATTTGTCTTAACTTTGAAGACGCAAAGCTATCAAAATAAGTATAAATTTGTATTTAATGTAAGTTATATTCATGTAAATTTTATATTTATATTTATTACTATGTCTAACTCTTATAAGGTATTTTAAAATAAACAAAAAAAAAATAAAATTTGAACACAAAAATAGCATTTTTTTAAACTATGGCAACCGTTTGCATGTCGAAGATAAGTCATTGGGGCAAATTTTTATTTAATGTATAGTACGTATTATAATTTTTAATTTGACATATGTTTAAGGGACGCAGTATTTCTGGAACATTTTCAAAAGTAGAATTTAAAAAGTTGAATTTTGTAAAAAAAAATTGCTATTTTGAATCCCCTTTGTGGGAAGGTAAAGGATCAGAGTTTTAAAATATTGTATCAAATGAAAGGGAATTACTTAAGATTACAACATAAAAAAATGTTCAATAAGTTATGACAATTTTTAGAAATAATGTCGAAATTTACCTATTTTAAAAATCGTAATTTTTTGGGAGATTTTCACCATTCACGAGGAACGAGGGTAATATTTTCAACAATATACGATTTGTGATCTTTTGACGTAAATAAATACACATTATGGTAAAATTAATATCTTTTCAGCTTTGCATCGAAGCTAATAATATGTATTATTAAGAGTAAAATTTATAGATTACCCAATTTTTTTTATATGATCACTAAAATCCACCAAAGAATAGCTTAATATGCTTTTTAGCTTAGTAACAATCAAGGAGACCGAGTTTTAGTCATTAAATTTTTGCCCCCTCGTGTAAAAAATAGTTCCGGTGCCTCTGGCAGCGAGCCTAAATTATATTATGGGAAGAAGGTTATACACTGTATCCATCCCTCTTAAACTATTATGAAATCGGTCATATAAAATGTGAATAATTGGCAACATTGACTTATGCTCAATTTTAAACTAAAACAGATTTTTATGCTAAAGATTTTTTTGTCATATTAATGCAGGTGTACATAATTACTGTTAGATAACTACTATATTCCATGCACTGAGATTGATTTATTAGACAGTATGAGATAAACTTTAACGTATTCCAAATATGAGAGAAACGTTGTGTTTTCATTTTAATATAGAGAATTTTCTCCAACATTCGTAATATTAAAACAATTTAGATTAAAAATAAATAAATTTATTGAAATATCTTTAAAAATTAAAATTTTTGATTGATTTGCTTAAACTGGAATATGAAACTAAATTTCATATCAATTACTATTTAATTTTTTTATCGATAGTTCTTTGTTGATTTAACACCAGCCAGCTACAATAGCTAAATTGATGTATATTAAGAAAAAAATCGAGCGCAGAAGATAATGGAAACCACTATTATCTTCTTATTATGATAGAATTAAAATTATAATTTTTATACAATAAATTAATTCAAATAATTGTTCATTAAATAGATAAAAAAACTGTTGGAAAGAATTAGAGATAATGCTCAAATAAAAAAATCTATTAGTTAAATTAAAATAATACACATAAGCTATACAACAAAAATCATGGATATCGAACAAATAAATTATTTACCTTATTTACAAGCATTTTCTTTCAAAAGTATTTCGATATATATCTTTCTTTTTGTGTAAAATGTGTTTGTTGACAGGTTTGTATATATTGTGAACATACACAGCGACGCCCCTTAACACCCTTAACACGAAGCGATTACGTGTTTGGTAAACATTTTAAGGGATTTTTCTAAGAAGATATAAGCCGTATTTGGTGCGTTGTTTCATAGAAATAAATAATATGTTTACATGAAAGAATGTAAACAAGTAAAATGAAAGTAATGAAACAACGTAAAGTGAGAAAATGTATTTACATTTTATAATAATAAAACGTATGGTCTTTCTTTTAAAGTAGACAAGACGTTTGCTAGGAATGTATTATTACATAAGCTAGAAAATGAGAAATCTAGTTAATACTTATAATTTAAACTTATGATTACATATATACTTTAGTATTAAGTGTAACACTCTAAAAATAATAATTTTGTTATTTTCTTCAAACTTCTTAAACAAGTTTGTACCTAAACCTCAAACATGAAGCTTTTAAGGAATATAACCAATGTAAAATCATTCTAGTATGACTAGAAATATGCATAGGATTGAAATTTTCACCTTCATATTTAATTTTTCTCGTAGTATTTATTAGAAGGCACTAAAGATATTACAAATATATCATCAATGAGAAAACTATTAAATTTTATTTTATTTTTAGTTTTCAATGACAGAGATTCAATGACAATAAAAATAATACTTGAAGGCTACATGAGAAATAAAATGAGATAATTCTACCAAGTTGTACAGGTGTTTATTATGGTTTTTAATATTTTTATTATAGTAATTTAGAAATCTATCGCGTTTTATAAGCATGGCTCTACTTTATTTTTACTTTAAAGCGAGTGTAATTTACTTCTAACGCTGTTAGTTGTTGAAAATTGTTCTGAAAGTCGTTGAGTTTATTTAGAATTCTTAAAGTTATGGCGGGAAGCTTATTTGTAAATATAACGATACATGTAAAATTTTTAAATTTTACTTTATAAAATTAAGATAAATTATAAATCATAAGTTCCACTACTGTTTAACTTTTTGTTGACAGAGTAGTCATTAAAAATCATGTATTCTATTTATTTGGATTATCATTTGTATTGATGATAATACAGGAATAAAAAAAATATTTTGTATGTTAAACTGATAATTTAGATGAAATTAGATATAAGTTTTATACGCATTGTAATATGTTGCTCTGATGTGCAAAAAGTTTTTATAAATTAGGAGTATGTATTTATCTTTATAGTCTATTTATCAGCAAATACAAACTTGAATTTTAACACTCATAATGATTTAATGATAAAGTATAATTTTTTGTATCTGTCCCCACTTTTTTTAAGCTATCTCTAGACCAATATTGATAAATAAATATCAAAAGAAAAAAGTATATCTAAATGAACACATTACACTAAAAATTTGAATAAAAATTCTTCAATTTTGTTATCAAAGAAAAAATCACAAAAAATTATAATCGTTAAAAACAGAAAGTTTTTCGCAATTTCAAATAATTTATTTTGAAATGTATGGATTAATTACAATTTAGTCGTCTCCATTTTAGACGATTACATGTCTATCGTTATATTTTTGCAGTAATCTAATGAGTAACCGAATTACAATAAAAATTTAAAGAAGATCTGAGTTAAGTATAAATTTTGCTTTCCATTTAATTTTTGAAAAATATTCAGGAATTCTGAAAATTTCTCATACACATTAAGTTTGACTTAATGTGTATTATATAATGTAGATCAAATTAAAGGTTTTAAAGTGAACTTTATGATTTAAAAAAATGCATTAGTATTTTTTGTTTCTTGGTAAAATTTACCAATTTTATTGCTATAAAACATTTTGTATTTGATTTTTACAAAGTAGTTCTTATAGTATAGGTGTATTTAAATAGCCCAGGCTTTATTTCAACTGAGCGTAACTTTCTTTAAGCATGATTGCATAATACTATTTTATAATAGCGATGTTAATCTACACTGGTGTTGACTATACCGGATCTCAGCTATACTGACTTTTTTTTTAAGTAGTTGTGATTTTTAAATGAAAATTCTTTTTTTTTTATATAGAATCCAGTTAACTATAAGTCGAATTGAACTGTTTAAGATATAGGTAGCCATTGCAGTCTGTTTCCAGTAAGCATTAAAAAATATTTGCCTTATTTTCCGTTTAATCTTTGTAATACAATTTTGGTCACGTTTTTGATATATTTAATATCTATACGCTGTTAAACTTTAGAAATTTTAAAGCATAAAATATTTGAGTCGATAATATGGTTATATTTATATGGAAGTAGAAAAGTAAATGATGATCGTAAGGTTATTTTTTTGTGTTTATTTTTCAGGAATATATATAGCTCTAAAAATATTGTATGTATTTTAGTGGTGTAAAACTATAATAATTTGTTGAAATTGAAAAAAAATTAAAAAGTTATTACTTGAAACGTGAAATCTAAATCGAGATAATTGAGTGGTAATAATAAACTATTTGATCAAGCGAATAAAAAGCTTTGCTATTTCCAATAATAATTATTGACATACATAAACTTATGAAACATGAGATTGTTTACGGTTTTCTTTTAGTTAATAAAACTAAAAATGTATGGTTTTTATTAACTTCGGACAAAATGAATAATGTACCGTCATAAAATATATTTTGTTTTGTATGTCAAAGAATGATAGAATTACAAAACGTAGGACAAATCTTACAAAATTAAAAATATGAAGGTACAGATAAAATAGGAAAATTATTAGTATTGTATTTCTTTAATTTTTCTGGGCAGTAACTTAATATTTTCAGTAAGAGTACGAGTTGTCGTTTGATAATGGGCGTAGGAGCTTTTGATGTTTTAGTATACTATTAAATTTTAATTGTCTGGTATACTAGTAATAGTATTTCTACTATTATCGAATACTACCTTTGTCATAATTATAAATAAGGTAGTATTGGAGAATTATACCCAAGTAAAGATAATGACCACTATTCTGATTCGACTGAATTATTTTTAATTGAAACTAAAATGATTATTTCAATATTAATTAGTAGTTATTTAATTGGAATTTTGGGGAGTTATTATTTTATGACGATTGAAAATGAATAATTATTGAAAAATATTTTAAATCTAACGTGCTGTTTATATTACTTTTTTTGTAACATTCTGTAAAAATCAACAGCTAAAATCTTTTGTTTTCTAAGGAAAATGTATACCTTTTAAAGTAAATGAAATTATTTCACACCAATTGTAACACGTTTCGAAGTTATAATATTATTCTAACAAATAAATTTTCAAAGTTTTTAGAAAAACTTTTGTGTTTGAAATTTAAACTAACTCTTTTCCATTAATTTAATGACAACCACTCAAAAGTTCCAATAGTAACGCAAAAAGATAAAAATATTTACATGTTGTAAACAATGCTCCTAGATTATGTTATTTTTGCCAAACATATTTTTCACGTTTATAAATAGTGCTAAAATATTTTAAACAACACATAAAATGTGTTTATTTGGAATGTTTATGTGTAGAAAATGTATGTGTTAGATTATATTCGCTTGTCATACGTGTATTTATTTATTCACATTTAGAATATAGGCATTTATTCTATAAATATTCTATTTTTGTTAATTTTCTACACTTTAAATATACTTTATACAATTTTTTACTATTCAGTATAGACGTCTTTCTCGTTTTTAAGGGTAATTAAATTTGATTTACGAGACAAGAAAATTTGAGTAAACATAAATTGACCTAGATGTATTTATTTATCAATTACCTTACGAAACTAAAGTTTTAAAACTTGTAGTTATGCGGCCCAGCAAAGATAAAGGCACACTATTATTATTATTATTATTTACCTGTAAACCTGGTGGCCAATTACAACTGTTATTGTAAATATTGGGTAAATTGGTATCAATGCATGGAAGCACTGATGATCCAGGCGTGTATTGAGCTGTTTGTACAGAAATGATGGTGCCCGTCGGACACGTGAGCGCCATTGAGTGGGTTTCACAGCCGACCCTGTGATATGTTCTAAGCGTGCCGGTCAATAAAGCTAAAAAGAGAAAAAAAAAGTTATTTGTTAATCATTAAGTGTGTTCAGAGTAATAAGAATGATGGATGAGCAAACAACTAACAACGGATATTATGATATTCATGAAGTGTTAGGTTTAGGACAAGTCTCTCCCGTAGGGTTCACACGAACTTTTGCGTGTGACGTATCAATATTTCGGGCGTTTCCTTTTATTTACCTAATGGATTCACAAACATACTGTGCAAGTTGGGCACAGAGTGGTTTACACTATTGCTATTACTATTCTTCATCACACTCCATTTCACTTCGATCCGTTTCTCAATAGATTTACATTCAGTTTTCTCGGTCACACAATGATGATTCTTAAATGGGTACGGCATTCGCCTGACAGAAATTTATACTGATATATTGATATCACAAATAGCGATGCAAAATATAATATTGTTACATTATACATTCTGACCATTCAGTACTTATAACCTATTAAAACAGGTAACTTTTGGGTTTCGTCGTCTTTTAGATAAGAGGGAACAGCTAATTAATATATTATCCTTTTTCGGTAGACATCGTTTATTATCAAAGGAAATGTAAAAGACTGATTAATTTAACTAACAAGGAATACGTATAATTTAATTTTTACTGATGTTAACATTTATACAAAAATTTATTATTATGTTGTCGATGCACCACCACTCCCATTGTATTTTCTCTCTCGTTCACCAGTTACTTTTTACTTGTTATGAATCTTTTCTTTTCGGAGAAACGCCTTTATACTTTTTTTACAAATACTCACAAGGTATACTTAAAAATTACAAAATCATAGTTTACTCTGTAAATGACATAATTTAATCACCTTATATAATTTGTTTGGATCATTGACAATTAAAAATCATCCATTATCATCAATGATTATTTATCATTTTTAAAACAGTGATATTCATACATGTATTTAAAAAATAAATAACAGTTTTAAGAATTTGTTGTAATATACTTTAATACTGATGAATGTACCAATCGTGGCATGATATATAACGATGATAATATTTTAGCTTAAAAATAAAATTCTTAATGAAAATATTGCTACTGAGCTTAACGTAGAAAGATATTAGATTTGTATTAATTATGTTAAATTATCCTTTAAGATGATCATTTACATTTTGTTTCTAAGGAAAAGAATTGATAGCAAATTCAATAAAGAATAAAATTTTGCGAAATATTCCGCCTTAAACAAACTGATATTTCTATTTACGACCTTATTAACAGTTATCTTAAATGTTTTGATCTTTTGTTACAAATTGTTTTTGTATTTTCATTCATAAAGTTGTTTAACTATATTATGAGTTTGTAAAGTAAAACTATATTAGTAGCTGAGTCTTTTTTCCCAAAGATCTTTTGTCTCGTGTTAATTAAGTTTGTTTTAAATTGGATCTATCTAATATTTGATTTTTTTTTTATTGAGCATTAATCTGGGGCATAACTAAAATTATACAAAAATAATTTATTTTCAATATCATTTGGATTTTTATAACATTTTAATTATTAGACTTAATGATGTATTAAACAAATATAAATATCAAATAGTTGGTAAATTGTTTGAAAACGGACACTTGCATTGAAATCCGCATTTAATTAAAAAAAAATTATGTTTAAAAAAAAGCAATAGCATACATATTTATTTTTATTATTTAATAGATATTAAAATAAGGAATTGCCTTGTGGTTATTTATCCCTATGATGGAATGTCAGAGATATCAGTTTTACAACCCTTTAAATTTAAAAATAAATATACTTATTTAATTTAATTAATGTGGAATATTTTTGAACAAGCTTGATGTGCTATCAAATGTTATCTCTTTAATTGTATTGTATAAAATGATAATTATTGACGCGGAGAGCAATTAACTGTGAAATGTTAAATATTGATGATATATAAATTGTGTAATTTATTTTTTTATATGACAAAAAATATAGCACCTGTTAGTTGAATAAAAATGTAACAATAAATGGAAAAAATGCATATATCACTTTTGTTTTTAATTAAATAATAAGAAATTTTGTATTACTAGAATAAAAATATATCATGAAAGAATTTTTACTATAGTTATAGAACATTTATTATAATGATATAATAAAAAAAAAGTATTTTTATAGATTCAGTTGATTATTTTCTTGTATTGATGTTTCATAATCGAAAACATCAATTTAATTAACTGACGTCCGTATGTTGATGTATCCTGGTATCATTGTCAATATGGTTACTTTACTTATTTATAACAAAAAAATTACTGCAAGATCAAGATTAATCATTAATTATTTTCAAACAATTTTAACATTTTCAGAGGAAATGAATAATTATGGATATAATATTTTAAAAGAAAATTAATTAAAACAACACTTGTCATGAGTTAATTGTGTTGAATTAACGATTTTATGTCACAAAACTTTTTTAATAAGATCCACTATATTATTTTTCTAAAATTAAATCAGAAATAGTTATTTATTCGTTTGTAAAAAGTGCAAACTATTTAAAAAATAACAATTGTATTTGTTGAATAGCTTTTTCGCTTCATGAGTGTTTGTCCTTGAAAATGTATCTTCAAATCCACTAGAGACTACACACTCCTAGAGGTCGATAAACATTTAAGTTCTTAAATTGTGCTTAAATTCATTGTTCACTGAAACCTTTTTATATATTTGGCGTTAGTAGAAAATGGATGGCTCCAACCGAATAAATCGAGTAAATGTCGGATATAAAAACTTATTCATTTATGTTTATATATTTATTAGTAATTTATAAAAGGTAATAAATTTAAGTGAATTTAACAATATCATTTTATAAAATTTTATTTAACAACTTCAATATTTTATAACGAGTCACAATACTTTATGAATTAAAAAATAACTCATTGATTGTTAACAATTTCATAATTATTAAAGAAATAATTTTAGATGAAAAATGAACAACGAGAATTAATTTTAACTTAAATATATTACGTGATAAATAACAGTTATCATTAACTGATATGTTACTACTCCTGAATCCTCTGAGAGTTAAGAAGGAACTTTTTCGTCACAATCTTTTAAAACTATAGTACGATAATAATCTCTATAATTATTGAAAATATTCATAGGAAATTTCTAAATAAAATTATTTTTGTAATAATATTGAAAAATTATAACTATTGTGTATTTTATTGGATGCTTTTAGTATTTGAAAAACTAAATTTAAAATGAAAAATAAATTCTAACGAAACAAAACTTAATAATCGGAAACATCTGCCTTTCTTGTAAATTAAATTTTAAGAAAAAAATAAATATAAATTTATACATACATAATGGTACATATTTCATAAATTCTGCATGAATTTTACACTCTAACTAATGCATTTCAGTAATAAATAAAGATAATATATTTTAATGTACAATTTATGATGTACGTCATTATTAAAAAAAAGTATTTGAAATGTTTTGAATGTTTCAAGAAAATGAAAGAACTTAAATTGACAATGACTCAGGGTAATATAAATTATTTATATTATTACTATTAAAATTTATTTTTACATTCGATTCAATTAATACACTTAGTTTAAGAAGATACAGTAAGGTACTTTATATACCATAAAAAAAAACTATGTGTGAATATTGTATCTTTGTTAAATAAATGTGGCATTCAAATTATTATAACATTCAAAAGTATAATGGATTAATTATAAAAAAAAATGTATGTCTTTGTATGTCAAAATTCAAAGAAAAGCTTTAAATTTATTTTTCGCTAGAAAATATATTATTTTTATTTGGTTAGAAGTATTAACAACACATTAATTTATTAAGTTTATTATTCTACTATAAGTAGTTATTGAAAATTTATGATGAATGGATTAAATTATATTATTATTCTATTTATGTTTAACTTTATACTAGTAAAATTATAAACATGACTTCAATTTATTATGTGAGAATTCAATAAGTAATTGAATTTTATTTTTAAATATGTCAAATAGAAATTCAAATTCGTAATTAATGAATACTTTAAGTATATTTATTAAAATAAAGTTTATTTTTTTTTTTATCTAAATCATTTATTCTCTTTGTATGCATAGTTGTGGGTATTATTTATTGCGCATAATATGCTTTTCTTCAAAATGTTTTTATGACAATAATATTAATTGAATTTTTTCGAGTGTTTTAAACTCCATACGTTTTTTGGTTTTGAATTTTGTTTTTAACTCTTGAGCCTGGCATTGTGCTTATGATCATAAACTAAATAGCATTAAGGATAAAACTAACTCTGTAGGGTTGTTAATTAAATAAATAAAATTCAAATTGCCAGCGTTTGCTCGACGGGATGTAATAAATAGTACCTGAATAGTATTACAGTTCATTGTTTAACTCACGAATTTCTAAATAAATTAAATGGCATAACGGAGAATCGTCACATATTACATAACGCTTATAAATTGTGACCGAATCCAAGTACAAAATTGATGGAAGATAATGTGTAGCAAGAGAATATAAAATTTATAAAATATTGGAAAATCATTCAAAATAATAATATTTCCTTTTTTGTAGTTACTAGATATTGAAATAATTGTAAAAAAATTACCGTATTTGGTAAATAATATATTAAAGATTAACAAAACTTTGAGAAACTAGTTAATTTTTCAGGTTTTTTATTTTTAAAGACCATCCAATTAGATTGATTATACTGTATTAAAATTTCTCCCTCGCCAAAAAACAATTATTATGTAATTTTTTATTTATAAATTAACATAATTTCCTATTATATTTTATGAAATAACAATGCAGAGTTATTGATTTATCGTTGTGCACTGGATTTCTTTATATTTAAATTTATAAGTAGTTAAATACTATTTATATTTATCCCTTATACACAACAAAGGTATCGACTTCACTTTTTCAAGTATAGATGATATCTAACAGCGATAAAAAACACTATTAAAAAAACGCTTCTATAAAAATCTGTATATAGTGTTTAATTTTAAGAAATTGGTGGATTATTC